AGAGGCTGTATTATGAAGGTGTGCGTGACGAGACTTTCCACCGTATATTATCTAAATGCTTGTCAAAGTCATGTTAATTAAGACGTGCACCCATGAAATGTGGTAGCTACAGCATTTGCCCTGCAATGTTTCTGTATAATTGTTGTCATGGTAACCAGTTCAGACCTTGTATGATTTATATGCGTTGGTTTTTGATCACAAAGGTATATTAATACGAAAATCAAATATTGTGGGCTTGCAAAATTATTTACGAGCGACAGTAAATTATCAATAATGATCGACAGCAATGAGTATGAAATAGAGTGGCTATCGTTCAGAAACACAACAAAATTATAGAAAATATTGTCGAAAATATTGTTGAAAATATTGTTCTTTATTGTATCCAGACTCTTTAGGAGGTAATCTTCTTCACAACAATGAGGCTTATTATGGTCAGAGCACTGGGGAATCTTCTTTGCTACTGGTAGCGAAGATTTTGGGCAGCTCCATTTTGGGTTTGCTTTGCTTAAGTGGAGTATTATGGTTTGCTTCAAAATATCTTAGAAAGCGGAGTCGGTGAGTATGAATAACAATCTTGGTCTGCTTTAGATGAGAATACACGTGGTTCAACTAAGAAGAAGTTAATAAGTTAGGTCACGGCTGTTTAATCTGACGAATGATTTATTCAAGGATAGCACTAGAAACAATCACTTACGAAGGTCTCTTGAGCCGAGGTATAATGTTGTTTCAACACAATAAACAGTATAAGGCTGTCATTTAGACCACAAAAGGTAACAACGATAAATATTATTAACAAAAAAGCTAGAAAATATATATATTTTCCCATTTCATGCCACATAGCCAAAGAAACTGCAAGAAAGAATTCTACAGAAAATGTGCTATTATTTCTTGATTATGCATGCCTTGTGAGTAGTTTCTTTGTTGAAAGCTCAAGCTCTTGATTCTTCTATACATGTTGTCAGGACCACTTTAGAACTCTTGGATCCCTGGGAAGTCCTTTTTGATGACATTTCCTTGCATAGAATCATTGGAGAAGGAGCTTTTGGGAAGGTGTACAGTGGCGAGCTTCTAAAACAAACTATGGAGGTTGGAAAAGGAAGGAAGCCTTCGCAGCGTAGGAAGGACAAGGAACAGCAGCAAATGAAGAAGGGTCTGATTGTTGCTGTGAAAATGTTGCAAAGTACGATTTGCTTATGTCAAAACTCAACTTCTTTAACAACTTTGACATTTAACAAATCTTCACTCTCTATAATGATGCTCGATGCGTCGAAACATCGAATAACGTTAGTTTAAATACTTCTTGTTAAATGCTACAATAAGCGATTGACCATCCGATCAGCTTTTTATTCTCTTCTAAATAGGGAACAGTGCAGGTGCAAGTCCACCCTGTCTGACAATTAGAGCAAAAATAACAGTATCGAAACATCATGCAGTATAAACATGTACCGTGTTCTGTAAACTTTGTGAGTTCAATTACCGATTTAATAATTGTCCGAGAGATAGGTTTCCAGAAGCCCTTATAAGCTTGGAAAAGGGGCGGGAAAGTCTGGCGGAAAACACATTGATATTTGGTTTTCCTCATTCTTATTGGCTCAAATGATCTTCGTTCTGAGTGGTTAAAGCATAGTGAATAAGGCTCTTAAAACGAACATTTAAAGTCTTTATATGGGCAAAATGAAAAGTCGCAGAAAGTGATATATTTCGAGTTAACCATTGTGGTAATTTCATAAACTGGCGTAAAAATGTGATCGTGTTTATATTTTTCGTTTTAACTGCAGCTCGCACGGGTATATGTGAGGTATTATGTCTAAAATTGTAATGACAAATGCTTTTAATTTTGCTATCCTAGATGGCGCCACAGAAGAACAAATGCAAGATTTCCTTGAGGAAATACAGCTTATGAAACAAATTGGGTATCACCGGAACATATTGAATTTATTGGCCTGCTGTACTATGACAAGTCCTATGTTCCTTGTAGTGGAGTATGCAAAGAACGGGGATTTACTTCACTACCTCAGGAAAAGAAGAGAGCAGGTGATGTGAGATAATTGACAATCTTACCTATAACTTTTAATTTGGTCAGTAAGTTTTAGAAAACCGGCCTACTATCAAAAACTGTGTATTGACTTAATTCAATACAGTCCAACCTCCACTATCGGCCATCTCTCTATAACGGCCACTTTCTCTGTCTTCAAGGTGGCGTTGTAGAGAGGTTTGACTGTATTCTCTAAGTTAAGACATTAGAAGCTCTGACGCCGTTGAACGGGAAGTTCCGATTCCTCAGACTATTTGTTTTGCTTCGAATTGTTTTGTTTTGGGCTGTCGTTTCCAGCCGGTTATCTACTCATAGCTTTCTATGAAAAACAGTTCGTTTTCCTGCACTCGTACGTTATAAACCAAACTACTTTAAATGTATAATATTACAATATAGTACATATATTATGTATAATTATATTATACATATATAAATATAATACTTTTACGTGGAGGGGGACATAATGAGAGTGACGACTCTTGCCGAGCATAATGTCTCACACACCATAGAGCTTTCTTCTACTTTGGGGTTTTTCATTTTTTTAGATAAAGCAAGCTTTTGAGGCGACGGGAGAGGCAGCGCCCCAACATTCAAGATATCAAAACATAGGAGTCATAAATGAAGGGAGCTTACATGAAGTAGTTATTGTTGTTTTATTCGCTTTGCACTCTTTGTGCCATGCAAGAGGAGAGACGGACCCGCCAGTAGTGGTCTGGGGTACAAATGCTCCAGCCCCTCCCCATTAGCTGGTTTTGTGTTCGGTAGTGCCGAATTCAACTCCTTCTTGCTTTGTAAATAGCCCTTAATTCTCAGAACCATACTCTGAATGCAAACATTGCGGATATTAACATGAGAATTAATGTTTGGCGACTAAAATTTCTAACTTCCCTTCTGCTGGAAAATTATTTTGATTTCATACATTTATTTAGAAGGAGTGGTTTGAAGATTCAGAACTTTCAGGCTGGCACTCAAAGTATGCAGGCAGTTGCAGTCAGTTTATGCTCGTTCTCACGAGATAAACGTGGCATGTACGAGTTCGAGCTACGAAAGCACTGACAAAGCACAATGACTACTGATTTAAAACAAACTATAAAGATCTCGTGTAGATTCCATCAAGCAAATAATAAAATTTCCGTCATATACTCTTTAATTTTCTTTTCAGTGCGCCAGCAATAAAAACAGATGCGCAACAATTGCTCACGGGAGCATCAAGAATGAAACTGACAACTTACAAGACGATGATACTCTCACACCCGCTGACCTAATGACGTTCGCATGGCAGATAGCGAAGGGAATGGTACGAGCTTCGAGACTGGCTTGATGTGTTTGGAATTTGTAATATTACGATTATACTTTGATGGCCTTCTCATATATCGATTGTTGTTTTCCTTTTCATTAACAACTACTGTTGCAGTGACTGAACATTCCCTTTCTTATTTTACATAGGAGTTTTTGTCACGTAAAGGATTCGTCCATCGTGACCTAGCGGCGAGAAATGTTCTCGTATGTGAAGGCAAGCTAGTGAAGGTAGCCGACTTTGGATTGTCGCGAATTGTGTACGCCGGGAGAGTGTACCATTCAACAAAGCCCAGAAAACTACCAGTCAAATGGATGTCACCGGAAGCAATTCATGATCAAGTGTTCACGGCAGAGAGCGACGTGTAAGTTTAAAAATATCAAAAAATGATAATAACTTTAAAAAAATACACAGGAGTCAGCGAGGTTCCTAATGGGCGGTTTTAATCAAATCGAAGTTAACCCCTACATACGGAGTTTGCTTATTTGGGTGTCTTAATTCAAATAGCGTAATATAGTTTAGCGTTTTTAGGTTACAGTTACCGTTTTGAAATAATTTGGCGAGAAAACTAGTACGAAAATAAATAAGTTTGCAGTGCTCACCACTTTTTAACGTGTTAACTAAGATTTTAATTAAATAAATAATTTGTCACTGATATAGCGTTTGATTAATAATGGTAATTGAACTGAGTGGAGTGCAATTTGGTCTGTAATCATACGCGTGATTTCAAAATCGAACGAGCGCGCAGCGCGAGTTCGATTTGAAATCACAAGTATGATTTCAGACCAAAATTGTACAACACGAAGTACAATTGCCACTTCATTAAATCCATTTTGAAATCTCACAATTTTATCGCCTTGAGTTTTAGATTTTTGGTGTATTGTTCCAGTAACCGGTTTGTTAAAAAAAAAAAGCGGAACCGGAAACGCCTTTACGTCTCATTTAGTATGCAAAACGATGTCATGTGACGAAAACTCATCCGAGCTCCATCCGAACATGACAAAGAAACAAGCAGTTTTGAAGTCAGAACGAAAATAATCTACTTCAGGTATAAAAGTTCAATTCTCGTCGCCTGAATCAATGATGGTAGGCCTTTCTTTTTTCCGTGGTTGAGGCTGAGACTTTTCATTGTCTTTAGAGAAGAAATTTGAAGGTGCGTCCTGCATAATTCTGCGATAGATTTCTTTTGAGTTGTGGAACTCCCTCGAGTGCACGATGCCCAGTGGATGGTACGTTTTTTTTCTTTCATACCGTTTAATGGCATGTTTTTGAGGGAATCCAGCTCGTTATCATCTCCGTTTCTTTTTGTGACCTCGGCGAAGGGCTCAATATTCAGGACCTTGTCAAGTTCTTGCGGCGCCATTTGTTTCAAGATATTTCCAAGATGGCGGGACTAGCACCAGCTTCATAAGACGTTCATTCATTCACAGTTTTGTGGAGCGGGGCGTATTTTGACTATGTTTATTCACAGCGACAGAGTTTAACTCATTTGTTGCTTCGTTTGAAACTACCGGAAACCTGGAAACATCTACCTTGTTGAGATGGCTCTGAATTTGTTGTTGTGTGATATACGGATCTTGAGCAAATGTTGAAGAAAAATCGCCAAAATATTCGTCAAAATGGACACTGAAAGTTGGAAACTTCCATTAAAGTAGGTCTNNNATTCGTGAATAAATCGCACCATTGAGAGCCAATCAGATTGCAAGGATAACCAGTGATTTCAAAATGGATTTAATAAATATAACCAATTGATACCTCTGTAGATACACTTCTGAAAAAAACACCACTTTGTTGTTAAAAGATTATCACCCTTTAAAAATTGAAGAAACTTGCCCAGGATGTAAAACAAACCCGTTAATATTAGTATAAAGACTTTCTCTGACATGTTACCAAAAATCTTTGAACTTTCAAGTCTAATGTATTGGGTTCTACATGGTCAGAGACAGACATCAATTTAACACTGTTCACCATGTTCAAAATGCCGGCAAACCTAATGACAACTCAAAATAATATTGCCAGAAGGATACCTATTATTCAAGTCACTATTACAATAAAGTCTTGAGTTAGAATTTTGAGTCTGGCTTTCAAATTTATCAGGATTTTGAGCTAAGATCTCAAGTTAGGATTTCAAGCCTATCATGGTTAAGCTTTCAGTCTCACAAAAGCATGTCGAGAGCAGATACATTTCTTACAAATAATATTTAGTGGATATAATTCACCACTTAAGTTCTACAAAATTGTTTTACGGTGTGAAATTTTGTGTAAAGTTTGAAGTTGTACTACAAAAACAATTTTTGTCAGTCGCTGCGAATCACTTGAAACCAGGTTTTTATACCGGAAATTGAATAGTTAAGTGTATTCCACTAAAACTCTCTGAAATACACGAACGATCAAAGAGGTAAACTCGGCTGAAATTGACTCATGATTTAGTTAAAATCATTTGTAGGTCGAGAGAACAACAAGATTACGCGCCATTACAGCACCGAACCAAAACAACTCTCACAAATAAAACACTTGTTTGAATTTACTTATAGTGACTTTCCTTGCCATTTTTAAGCGAATAGAGACAAACTTGTGTAGATTAATCGTCGATGGAAGTGTAAAAAGGGCAAAGGTTCACGATTACCGCTAGTTCGCTCACGAAAATTGATCAACACGACGATTTCACCCGCTGCGAAAGCTTTCAGAGATAAGAAAATCCGGAACGCGCTAAGAACCAATCAGATTGCAGGATTTGTTACCGTGCCCTCTTGAAAAACAATAAGGAATTTCTCTGCATTGTCATTTAAGAGTCGATACAAATCACTCGTTTTTATAAAGAACCATGCTTATTTTTAAGGAAGATTGCATGACGACCCCAAAGAGCGTCTGCCTAGGTATAGCGAATGATGTAAGGGGATTGCTTCACGGCTCGGCGCATGTATAAGCAAGCAGGAACATGAGCCTATTTGATTCAGCGAAATTTTTCTTTGAAAGTTGCGCGGTCGGTCGCGTCCACGCTCCGATAGAGGTGTTTCTCATCAGTATTGTTTTGGTATTTACCAACTCCCAAGCACCACTCAATTCCAAGGTTTATGAACCAATCGGGTGCGAGTAAATAACGCGTGCGTGTGTCCAGAATAAATCGTTCGGCCCGAATAACAGTTCGATGTTCAATGCTAAATTCGATCTTTCCTATACGTAAATCTGTTGATATCTTCCGCTAAATTTGGGCATCAGTCATTCTGCATACCCAAATGATAGTCTGTAACTGCTGAAAAACATGTCCCTCAATAAGAATACGAAACAAGTTACTATACTGGCGCGAATGCTTGGGCATGCGCCGAACCGTGAAACCTCCGATCCCTTAACAGAGCCACGCACTAGCCATCAATTAGCATCGGAATCATTTCCTTTTTACACGCGTTGCTGCTGGATTCTAAGACCNAATCAAATTCGTGGTTGTTTTTCATACAGTGTTGCGCCAAAAGAGAGTTCTTGTCACATGTGAGGACGGCTCTTTTGTGTTCTTTTGTTCTGGATCTCAAGCGCCATCTTGGCAAATTTGGTGATGGAACACGTCGAAGAGAGAGCGTTAAGTACTGCACCACACCCCCCTAAGTGGTGGTACAGATATGTTGACGATAGCCATGTTTGCCTCGCCCGTGAGCATCTCACTGAATTTCACTTCCATCTTAACTTGATCAACCAGCACATCAAATTCACAGTCGAAGAAGAGAGTGATAGATCCATCCCATTCCTCGACATGAAGACAACTAGAAATACTGCTGGATCAATTAAAACCAGTGTTTACAGAAAAGCAACCCATACCGACAAGTATCTCCATTTCAACTCTCAACACCCTTCGCAACACAAACGCTCAGCGGCCAGAACCCTTCTTGACAGAGCAAAGAATATTCCGTCAATTGACGAAGACAAAAAGTCCGAAGTACAACATGTGGTGGACGCACTCGAAACCAATGGTTACACGGACCAATTCTTAAAAAGCTGCCAAAGAACCAAACCACCTAAAGCATTAAATCAGCCCCAAAATAATCAGCCACAAAGCTACAGAGGCTTTGTTACTTTGCCATATTTTCAAGGAATCTCTGAAAAATTGCAAGAACTTTGGGACAATTCAACTTAAATGCTGCTCATAAACCCGTCAAGACGGTTGGTTCGATCCTGAAGAAACCGAAGGACAAATTCAATCAAGACCTNTCAAAACCAATGGTTACACGGACCAATTCTTAAAAAGCTGCCAAAGAACCAAACCACCTAAAGCATTAAATCAGCCCCAAAATAATCAGCCACAAAGCCGCAGAGACTTTGTTACTTTGCCATATTTTCAAGGAATCTCTGAAAAAATTGCAAGAACTTTGGGACAATTCGACGTAAATGTTGCTCATAAACCCGTCAAGATGGTTGGTTCGATCCTGAAGAAACCGAAGGACAAATTCGATCAAGACCTGTCAACTGGCGTTGTGTATAAAATCAATTGCAAAAACTGTGAAAAAACTTTACATCGGACAACAACTTTTGAGAATTTTTTTTTTAATGAAACATTCGTTTGAATTTACTTGCAGTGACTTTCCTTACCATTTTAAAGCGAATAGAGACAAACTTGTGTAGATTAATCGTCGATGGAAGTGTAAAAAGGGCAAAGGTTCTTGATTACCGCTAGTTCACTCACGAAAATTGATCAACACGAAGATTTCACCCGCTGCGAAAGCTTTCAGAGACAGGAAAATCCGGACCGCGCTAAGAACCAATCAGATTGCAGGATTTGTTACCGTGCCCTCTTGAAAAACAATAAGGAATTTCTCTGCATTGTCATTTAAGAGTCGATACAAATCACTCGTTTTTATAAAGAACCATGCTTATTTTTAAGGAAGATTGCATGACGACCCCAAAGAGCGTCTGCCTAGGTATAGCGAATGATGTAAGGGGATTGTTTCACGGCTCGGCGCATGTATAAGCATGTAGTAACATGAGCCCATTTGATTCAGCGAAATTTTTCTTTGAAAGTTGCGCGGTCGGTCGCGTCCACACACCGATAGAGGTGTTTCTCATCACTATTGCTTTGGTATTTACCAACTCCCAAGCACCACTCAATTCCAAGGTTTATGAACCAATCGGATGCGAGTAAATAACGCGTGTGTGTGTCCAGAATAAATCGTTCGGCCGGAATAACAGTTCGATGTTCAATACTTAATACGATCTTTCCCATGTAAATCTGTTGATATCTTCCGCTAAATTTGGGCATCAGTCATTCTGCATACCCAAATGATAGTCTGTGATTGCTGAAAAACATGTCCCTCAGTAAGAAAGCGAAACAAGTTACTATACTGGCGCGAATGCTTGGGCATGCGCCGAACCGTGAAACCCTCCCTTAACAGAGCCACGCACTAGCCATCAATTTGCATCGGAATCATTTCCTTTTTATACGCGTTGCTGCTGGATTCTAAGACCTTTAACAACCTCGCCTTAAAAAATGGTCTCTCGATTCTGTTTGAATAATCGATAAAAGATTTCGTTTGGATAGCCTTCGGGAACATCTCAGTAGAAACATTATCGATTTTTATAACAATAACGCCGTTGTCTCCTATCTTCAAGTGCTGATATATAGCTTGTTGTAGCTCGAAATTACACCATTGGCTTGAGAAGAAGGTCTTGGATATGACGGCAATTACTTTTCTACTCTTACGAACGCTCTCTGTCATATTTACTACAAAATGCTCTCCTGGAACAAAATCTCGGTAGTGGACACAGCACTTGTAATGAAACTCCTTCTCCAGGATCGGCAGAAGGGTTTCATCTACCCATTTTTGGTCATGCTGGTTGAATATTATGAAGGCGTCGTAATCAGCATCATCTGCAAACATAGGATATTTGAATGCTGAGAAAAAGCAATCACAGTCATATTTAAGAGAAACAAACTCAGATAACCATATGGAGTGGCCGCATAAAAAAAATACAAAAACAAACGGACAGACAAGCTGGGATTAGAGATTGTATGTAATATTTTTTAGCTTGAACTTTCAATTTTAATATTTCCCACCAAGTACTACTATTATCCCCTTACATGAGCCTTTTGGTCATAAATAGGGTTAAGTTTTGCACTGTAGCCTTGAACTGGGTATGTCTTTTTCGAGGAAGCTACTCTCTTATCATTATATATCGATAAGACCATCAACAAAAGCTTCACAAATTATGTTTAGGGCAATTGTTCCAGCCGCAACGGTCATAACTAGGGAATCAAAATTTTTGTCAAGTCAAATAGGGTGAGAAAAGTCGAAAATCGCAGATTTTGGTCATAAATATAGGGTAAGGTGTTTGGGAAGCGGGCCGCACTAGGGCTTTCCACAAGTTGCTCGACAACTTTTAGGCAACTTCTGGTATTTCGGGCAACTTTTTTTCATTTCGAGCAACTTTTTGCATTCGGAGCAATTTCTAGTTTTCTATCAATTCTGAGAAACCGGAACAGCTTTTAATTGCTTAAATTGACCTTCCTGTCATATTTCAAAACGTGTTAGTGGACAATTTGTTAACTTCCTGTGAAAAAGGACCCAGATCCCCCTCCCCCCCTGCGGCAGATCATGGATGTAAGATGCATGCAGCCGAGCTGCTAGGTCAGCGGGGTTTTTTTTAAATTCAAAATGGTGGGCGAAGGACTCGAGTGTCTCAGGTGAAGAATTTTTACAAGATTAATATTAATATTGATGCGTAGTCTTCACGCATACAAGTTTTGGTTTTAATTAAGGAAGAGGTATTTAGCAACGCTGGTTACGCCGCAAAATTGTACAAAACGCTTAGAAATCTTACTTTTGTTGTACGTTTGCATCAGACAAATAAAGGAAGAAAGCAACAAAACTTTTTTTTGTTTTTTTTTTTTTTTGGAGTAACGTTTGAGCAACTTTCGTTACAAAAAGGTACTTTTGACTTTGTTTGAGCAACTTTTGAGCAACTTTTGAGCAACTTTCGTTACAAAAAGGTACTTTTGACTTTGTTTGAGCAACTTTTGAGCAACTTTTGAGCAACCTTTTGGGAAATGTCGCGCAACTTGTGGAAAGCCCTCGGCCGCACACCCAGATCCAATGNTCATTATCGATAAGACCATCAACAAAAGTCCTTCAAAACTTATGTTTAGGGCAACTGTAGCAGTCGCAACAGTCATAAATGGGGTAGGGAAAATTGCAGATTATGGTCTCAAATAGGTTAAGGGTCTAACTTTTGCGAAGAGGGCCACACTGACCCCCACCCAATTTTTCTGGGATGTACTAAACACATTTTCTTAGCAGTTACTACAGTCTTGCTTGAGCAAATCAAAATAGTACCTGCTGCTAGGTACTTTGTAAAAGTATAACCCCTCCAGAATCCTTCACAAAGTACATGTAATATCAGGTGCTAACAATGTTTTTTGCAGCTGCTTAAAATTTAGTATTAGATTGTACTGAACTGGTGCAGATTTAATATACATTTATTTAGATTTTCTGGACTTAGTTCACTTATTTTAAGACTACTCAGCAGCAACTAGTACCCCTTGTATGACCATGTGGTAACAGTATATTCCAAAAAAAAAAGTATGTGTATATATTACTATCCTGCCTGGAAGAGTGTGTAGAGAGAGCACACAATGCAGTGCCCTACTGTATGTCTTCTGTTAGGTATAATAATCTTAAATTTAGAAGACTCATATTGATCTTTAAGAATTCACAAAAAAGTTGATGTCTTGACAACTCTCCTTTAGCTGTGTCACTTCATAATAAATTGGCAGTTTGGTATGTTGTAGCATAGGACTTTAATTAATTAAGTTATTGCACCGGAATCACAGAGGTCATGGGTTGGAATCCAGTTCACACCTAATTTTTTTTCAGGCTATAATTTCACCTTTGCTTAAGTTGTGTACAGTTGCAATGATCAATCATGTCTTTATAAGTTAATCAATGTATATACTTATACTGTAACATTTTATCTTAAAGCTTGTTTATTTGTTTTATTGTGTGGTTCTAGAAAATGTCCATACCCACCCCAAGGAGATTATTGGAAATTCCAAGGATGGGGAGGGTCTCAAAAGCCAAA